TCCAGGTTGTTTTTGATTCATCCGGGTTGTTTCTAGACCTTTGGTTCTTGATGTACCAGATTGTTTGCACTTCATCTAGATTTTTTCTGAACTTGTATGTACCTCATCCGCATTGTTTTCTGATCAATTCAGGTTCTTTCTGAATTTGTCTTGGTACTTGCAGCACCTCTTCGGAGTTGTTTTCTGATCGATCCGGGTTCTTTCTAAGCACTTGTCTGGGTTCTTGCCGCACCTTGTCAGGGTTCTTTTTTGATCAAACCAGGTTGTTTCTGGACTAGCTCTCAGGAGCATGTTTTTTCTGATCTCATGGTACAGATTTAGCTCCCCTGCATGTTAAACATAAAAATATGTTGTAAATGACATTTCGGATATGAAGTCGGGAGCATGTCCCATATTTGAATAATCAATCAGGGGCAGGCCCCGGCATCATAAAATGCATATAAACTTTTTTCGTGTCTTGCTCTTGCTAGGCCACGCAAATTCCTCAGGTAGTGTCCTATTACGTTTAAGCACTTGAATCTCTGGCGTTATGGTTCAGAGGTTCATTGACGTGACCATGTAGCCTGGCATTCGGTTCAGAGGTTCATTGACGTGACCGTCCATGTGAGTAGACAAGCTTCACGGATTAAGGCATGTTCTACCTGAGGACTTTAGCGACCGTTAAGAGAAGACTTAGAGCACTATGTTTGCTCACATGATGATTTTACTTAGAGCACTATGTTTGCTCGCATGATGATTGTAGAGCACTATATTTGCTCGCATGATGATTTTTTGTGTCTTCCCTTGCTAGGTCGGTTAATTTCCTGAGTAGTAGCCTATTACGTTTAAGCACTTGAATCTCTTGTATGGTTCAGAGGTTCATTGACATGACCACCCGTATGGTTCAGAGATTCTTTGACGTGACCATCCGTATGGTTTAGAGGTTCATTGACGTGACCATCCATTTGAGAAAACAAGCTTCACGAATTAAGGCTTACTATCCAAGGAAATTAACAGTCGTTAAGGGAAGATGATATGGCCACAGAGGCATACGAATAATATCCGGAATGTAAAAAATTAAAGCGTCACTTAGCTTGGTTCATGGTAGAGTTGTTGACCACCGCAGCCGGGTAGTCGATCGGTGCGCCGTTCAGCCTAGTAGCTAGTCACCATAGTCGGATATCGTATCCGAGTTGTTTGCGGAGGTCGTGTGTTCCTTTCGCTTAAATTGTTTCCGAGTACTCGGACTCCTCGGCCGAGTAGTCGGTCTTGGCTTGCTTGCTATCTGGCTTGGACGACTTGTTTCTTGATTCGGCTTGCTTCCGTGTTGTGGTAGCAATCGGTCAGATGCTTGGTACTTGGCTGCTCGCGACTTGACATCTTGCTTGTTGACGTAGTTGATTCAAGTACAAGATGATTCTCCCGTACGACCATATGTTGGCATAGTGATGGATCCAGACGTGATACATGCATGCATGGGCACTCGCATGTCTCTTGTATCTTGTATGTATATGTGTATATATGCCTCAATATTTAATTGGCTTGCATGCTCGTCTCTGATTAATGGTGTGGACTTCTTTCTTGCGTCATCAACATGTCATGGAGCTGTAGAGCATGAATAATTTGCTTGCTTTTTTCTTTGTTTGGATCCGTATTGTAGTCGGCTTGCTTGCTAGTTTGCTCGGTGCAATCGGACATGGTGCTTCCGGATCAAACTTTGGATATTGATGTGGGTGGATGTAAAACCCGACATGGGGTCGAATTTAAGAGTCCGAGTCATCATCATCGGATCTGCTGATCTTGTCTCTTGTGTATGAGTATATACACATATATGTTGGCCTTGCTTGCTTCCTCATCCTTGTCGTGCTCCTCCGTTTGATTGGTGGTGAAAATTTTTGTGTACTTGTCGTATCGAGTAGAATTAGTATCCGAATTCGAGTAGACATCACCATGACTTCTTTGCCGTAGTTGATCTTTGACCGATCCTTCTTTGGCTTTGAGATGTATTGGACTCGGATGAATTGCGGTCTTGATTGACTTGTTCTAGGGAAAGCTCGACTTGCATGTTGCTTGATCGCTTGTAGTCTTGATGGCGAGTGCTTGTTGACCGGCTGCTGGAGTTGGGATCCCGTGCGGATGTTATCATCCATGTCGACGAGAGTTGTAGCGAGTTGTCGGCGAAACCACGATGAGTTGTCGACGAGGCCGACGAGAACCGCGACAAATCTTGATCTTAAGGTCCACCGAGCTCTCGAACGCAAAGCGCCAAGAGCCCCTACCTGGCGCGCCAGCTGTCGATGTTTTACCACCGATAGCCTGTCACGGGGTTACCGGGACGGTATGTTCGAGCTTCACAGATGCGGAACTTCGACGGTGAACGCAAGAGACAGTCGATTTATCCTGGTTCGGGCCCTCGATCGTTGATCGAGTAATAGCCCTACGTCCAGTCAGCGTTAGCCTTTGCGTTGGATTGATTGTGTGATGTTGTGTTGTTACAAAAGTTGTCTAGAGCTCACCGATCTAAGGAGCCTTGCCCTCCTTTATATAGTCAGGAGGCCAGAGTCCTAATCGGTTTACAATGTAGAGTCTTAGTAGGATTACAGGGTAATATTACTACTAGGATTACATGGGAGGAATCCTAATCAAACTAGATCTCCTCTCTTCCTTGCAGGGTATCCTGTGGGTCCCGCATCGACAGAACCCCAAAGAAGAAGAAGACACACATCAAGAAGAAGCTTAAGAAGGTTACAACCAACCCACCTACTACTACTATTAGTAGCATCAGGAGGCTGGTCTATGAAGACTAGAGCTTGTCAGCAGCTTTTGATCTGCTTTTGTAATAAAAATTACAACTTGTATGCTGGTATGGTCTGCTTTTGTGAGAACCTTGTAGTTGGTATGTACGTTGCTATTTTGGTTGTTGGTATGCTGGAACCTTGTAGTTCGTATGCTGCTATGTTGTTGCTAGAACCTTGTAGTTAGTGAAAAGGTACCTTGTAGTTGGTATGCTGGAACCTGGGATGTTAATTTAAGAACTTATATGTTGTTGCTCAGTTCTGTCAATAAAATAGCTGACATGGTCTAAGTTTGTCATTCCAACATGTGATGGCCAATATGGCATATATATGTTACATGTTCTGGATTTCAATTTCTCATGGCCTATATGGCATATATCTCTGTTAGCTAACCGAAGATGTGAACCGATTGAACAGAAGACAAGATGTTATTTGATTCAACAGAACACATTTCATTTCAATTTAATTTCAGGGTAAAATACAACCACATAGACTCACAATAGCTAACCCCTCACACATTATCTGTTCACTTCCCCACATACAGGCAACCATAACACTATTCAGGACACCTACAAAGGTCACAAAAACTGAAGAATCGAGCACAATCTGCTTGGCTCAACAGGTTGTAGCTTTAGTTTCCAAAGTTCAGCTACAATACTATCCAATGTTTACTTCACCTCTTGCAATTCTTCCTTCAATTCGTCATATTAATCACCTGATGCCTCCTTCCCGGTCTGCAACCGGCATTCCTGTGCTTCCAAGGCCTCATACTTCAACTTAGAGCGAATGAAATCATAGGTAGTAGGATCACCCTACACTCAAAATGCAGCAATCAAAGTAGCATCAAGAGACATAGTGAGGACAACAATGTCAAGAATCCTAACCTTTATGTTGTACGGACACTTGACAAACCACTCGTCCCTTGTCGCGCGGCTGCTTGCTCTGGATCCGGACCAAAGGAACATGACAAAAGGTGCACTCCCTTCTACCGCTGGCTGTTGCGCTCGAGCCCGTCGAAGTTAGCTTCATCGGGCTTCCATTCTTTCCCGGCCATGGCTTCAAAAGCTCGACGCGGCCACGGAGCAGAGCCTCGAAACCGCCAGCCGCACCAGTGGGCGCGGGATCTGGGAAGAGAGCTCGGGCACGGGCGCAGGCTCAAGGACGCAGACGCCTAGGGTTAGGGTACCGCCGCCGCTGCCGTCGGGAGGAAGAGAGACAGAGTGAGGGAGAGGAAGAAGAGAGTGAGAGCTAGGGCCACGGTCGCAGGCCTCCTTTCACAATTTGGACGGAGGCAAAAATATGTCCATAGGGAAAGACGAACAATAGGCATACGCCTGTCAGTGGGCCCATGCAGCTGGAAAACGTAGAAAGTGGCATTACTTAGGGAAATATGAAATTATAATGGTCAGAATAGGCGAATACAGATCTCCAAACTCTTCGCAGAATTCATTTCCCTAATGCCAGGAGAGAGGGGCCGAGCTCACAGGCCAGGAAATTAAACAGGCGCGCTTGCAGCCCACGGGCTCGGCCAGGCCGACGGCCAGCAATCAAACACGCCCTTCAGTTCTCAGCGGAGCTGTCGCCCGTCGGATGCAGCGAACGGCAGATTGGATACCGGCTGCACCTAGCACACCCCAACCCCATCCCTAGTCCGGCGAAACCCCATATACGAACTCTCAACTGCGAAAAGAAACCGGCGATCCAGATACGAGATGGTGCAGATGCAACGAGTCCTCTCACGTTCGATGCATCGTCTCCTCAGAAGCTCCAACATCCCCACCTCTCCTTCCTCGATGCACCACCGTCTGGCCTCTATCTCTCAACCTCTCCTCTCTTTCATGGCATCGGGTACAGCTCGCTGGTGGCCATCATCGCTTGCGCGACCTACCCATTGTGTTTCCCGGTGAGTTTTCTTCTTCTCTCATGCTAAAGCTTGTGCCTTTGGTCGGTTGCTATATATATATATTGGGATCTGGATTCTGACACCCCAAGTTTGTGTTTTTATTTACCGTTCTTTTGCTGATTTTGAAGGCATATGTGGGGAAACCTTCCCGTTAATCTCTTACATGACTATAAAAGCAGAGACTTGAATCGACTTCAGGCTTAGATATATCACATTAAGATTTAAATCCTGATTGATCTGTACCATCTTATTCACATCGGATGCTGAAATTGGCTTTTTATGTTCTTTTTTATTGTGATAGATTTCCTCATGGATGTCGCAACATGGCCAGCAGCACTGGAGTCAAAAGCATGGACTTGGGTAAAACAGAGAGGCGACAGCTCAACCCTTCCACCAATGATTTTATTATTCCCCTGGGCAAGGGCTCTGCTATCACCCAAGACATGAACAAAGTAGAGGACATTGACAGTACCAATAAGGTCATTACTCGTTATAGCCATTTTCCTCCTGCCAATAGTGCAGAAGATGAGAAGAGGGGAACTATGAATGCCATTTCTGGTGATGAAGATACTTGTAGGACAGCCTTGGAGGTCATAGATAGCAAACCTGATGCTGATGCAGCAGGAGGAACTGTGGGCATAACTGGTTATGAGCTGAGGAGTAATGATAATGATAAACAGCGCAGGGCTGCACCGGTGCCTGATTACTCCAATGATGATGATGATGATGTACCCCCTATGCTTATATTACATTATAGCAGCCATCGTGATGGTTCTATATACAGGGACATCGATAATTGCTGGAAAAGAGACTTTGGTATTACTAACCGTAATGAGAGTAAGTGATCAATCTCTTTTCCTGTTTTTATTTGTTAGTAGGGGATTTTTCAAGCTACAGCATAAACATATGCATTCTCTCCTGAAATCTCGATGCTATTTTTGCTTTACTTTGTTTACTTTTATTGACTGATGATGATGGCGATGCGTTGTCATATAAAGGGAAAATCTTGTGAAGTGATTTCATTGCTTGGTGTTTACAAAAGTAGGACCATCGTGCCTTTAGCAAATTGCAGCTTGTGCCATTGGCCGTTGTCATTGTCTGCCCTTGTCAGTCCTCTGTTCCTTGCCCCTAGCCCACCTGACCCTGGGTGTCATTTTCTGTCCTCGTGTCTCTCCTGCGAGCTCAACTCACATAAAGGTTCTTCAGCAGGATGCACCATTCGCAAAAGAACAATCAAGGGAACGAAATTCCTACTCAAAAGAACATAGATAGTTTCCAGACCATGGAATTCTCAAGCGGCATGTTTACTTTCCATATAGCAAACATTTTTAATGTTTTAATTTGATTCTAATACTATTTATGTTTTTCTGTGAAGCTCCGTTGGAGGCAATGAGGTTTTCACACTCCACAGATTGCATCATCCGTGATGGAATTTGCAAACACACAGCGTGGAACATGCTGCAAATTTTCTCATTGAGGTTGGCTAAAATTCCTGTAGAGCATGGCTCAGTGGAGCTTTATGGATACATAGCAGCGCGGGATGCCCTGGATTCATTACTTAATTATTTCATCAATGTTAGCAGGGATGATCCCATCATAGTGAAACAGGTGTGCACATCTACACATTTCTGCAATTATTTCAGTGTCTTGATATCGCATCATGAGAGCAGCTGCTGGCATGACCCGATCTGCCAACAGCACAGCATGTGGATAGTACTGGGCTGGAATGCTTTAGAGCCCATGGGTTCTTATTGGGGCATGAGAAAATCTGGTCCACGACAACAAGCCACTACTATACCAAGTCTTGTATTGTAAAATACTTACTTACCATTAAAATGTATCTGATAATTTTTAAACAATCATGTAGTCCAAACAAAAAGCAAGTAGAATAGTTCTTGACTCTTGGTTGCTACCAAGTAAACCTCACAAAATTGATTCCATTTGTTTGTAAGCATATGAGCATACATAGCAATGTGTTCATCACTACAATCTTATCTCTTTCATTTATTACAAGCTTATTTAATTAATTATTTGTAGCATCCAAAACAAAACCAAATAAATAACGGGGGCTGATTTTCCTCTCTTAACACCTTATGTATTTTGTAACCATTTGGTTTGATACGTGACAAAATATCTTGGTTATCAATTACAAAACATGCCTTTATAACTATCCAAAGTTTAGATGTTTCTTACTTTTATTATTTGATTCTGTAGGGTTCCCTGATCTACATGTCTGGCCCTAAGCGGGGGATCCTACACCTCGATGCTACAGTAATCGAATATGATATGAAGATCAAGACAGGCAAACATGAAAATGAAGATCTGCAGCTGATCGATGGTGTATCAACTGTAGATTCCGCAGACACATGGGACTGTCACCCGTTCACAGATCGCATCCATGGTGATTGTGGCGCAATTGACGTAACAGCTGCATGTATTTACTATGCAGTTGAGGCGACTGTAGAAGTTGCCATATTACAAGTGCAAGGCAGTTTCAATATGCGTCTCAGTTGTTTTACCAGTGGGATACATAAAGAAATCCGGCTCTTCAATGGTGCTATTGGTGAGCCATGTGGCTTAAAGAGGTTTGTGGTTGCTGTACATGTGAATGCTCAGATAGTTTTGAAGTTCAAGCTAGACGCAGACTCGTGCCTCCATCGCTGTTCCTTCAAGGCGAACAGGCATGGGCATGACAATCAAGAGATAAAGACTGATTTTGCATTAATCGCAGTGAAGGTGACTTGGTCTACTATATGGTGATTGGCCCAACAGCCTCAGATTGGACTGTCAAAAAAGAAAGTTGAGTGAGGGGGCCAAGAGTAGACTTAAGTTGAGGTTTAGAGTTGTGAGCCTGTGGTGGCAACTGTTACGAAACGGTGCCTGCCAACAGACACCTATTCATAATTGATCTCATCCAATTAGATGTGCAGTTAGAGATAGGATTAGAGATTAGATTTACATTAACTGTGTCACCGAAGGGGCATGTCTCTTCGTGACGAGATGTAACTTCTCCCATCAGTTGTGTCCTTTGGACGCACCCCTTCACTTGTGTGTGTGTGTGTATATATATATATAAGAGATCAATGAAAGCAACGGTTGTTCCCAAATCATTGTTCATCTTCATTCACTTTTAACACGTTATCAGCCACGTTGCACTTCTGGACAAGCGAAAGAGAACGACAGAGGCACATGCCCCTGAACCCCCATCAGTAAGCATGGCAAGGATCGACTTACCGTCACATGTTGTTCGTCAACTGTTCTTCGCCCTTTGCCGCGTCGGTGGAGTTCGCCGTGGCCCGATCCACCACCACGGCCACCATGGACAACGCCGCAGCGTCTTTGAGCGCCTTGGGCCTCGTGTTCGCCGCAACATTGCCCATGGTCATGGCCATGGTCCTTTCGGCCGCCTCTTCGACTCCACTATTCGTGGCTTCCGTTCCAATGCAGTTCCTCGCCGCCGATGGACTCCTGTTCATGGCCGCCATGCTTCTCCTCCGCGCGGTCTTCGTCTGCAGAGCCAGCCACCATCTCCTCGCCTTGGCTTGGACGGTGCCGGCCCCAGCAACGCTGCGCCTCCAACGGTTGAAGCCCCGGCGACACCAGTCGATGAAGCCCCGGCGACACCAATCGTTGAAGCCCCGGCGCTGCCCGTTGATGAAGTGGCTGCCGAGCCCATCGCTATACCCGCGTACGTCCCCCATGGAGCCGATGTCGCCAGCACTGGCACCGCCTCGCTACTGGTGTGACTTTTGCAAGGAGTACACGCTGATTTTGCATTAATCGCGATGCCACACACGCTGGAGTACAACTCCACGCTGCCATCGCCCACACCAGTCGATCCGACTCAAGTGGCGGCCGACGATGGCATGCCCGGTGGCGTCCTCAATCTTGGATCTTCAACACCGTCGCCGCGCTGATGCTCCAGCAAGTGAAGACCGAGGACGAGGACATGGTGGCTGCCCAGGCGTCGGCAACCTCTTCAACCCCGGCGGCACGTGCGCGTCTAGGACCGGCGTCTCCTCCGAAGGCGACCTCAACACCGGTTTTTCCGCCCACGACTCGCGCGGAAGCCGCTGCTCGCATGAAGGCGAAGGCCCTCCCGGGTCCTCCTCCGGCCGAGACACTGTCGACCCCGACGCTCCGGCGCCTCCTCGACCGCAAGACGACGGCAGTGGACAGGCGCCCCGGCCTCCGTCGCACCGGCGCCTGGAATCCAGCTGATCTCGGCCTCCCGAGCGCGGAGGTCCTGAACATGGCGGACAACGGTGGCGGCTTCTACTCCCCCGATGACGGGGAGTCCTCTTCAACTGAAGATGGCGAGCAGTGGCAGCACAGTGGAGCGCGGTGGCGAGGAGACTACCAGCGGCGGTGGCCTCCGAGATGGCAGCGGCGGCGTGCAGTTAGGGGTTGAAACCCTAACTGCCAACCGACCCCCCTTTTATGGGCGGTGCGCGACGATGGGCCGGCCCAAGGCCGGTGCCCTGCCCTCCCTCCTCTCCCCTGTGCATGCCGACTGGACCAGGATGGGCCCAAAATGGAAATGGCTTTTCTTTAGCTTGGCTTACTTATCTGTTTTATTTATTTTTTAGTATTAGTTCGTCAATGACTATGTTAGTCTCTTATAATTATGTGTTGTAAAATTAAGTACTCTTATGTTTAGTCACTGACTTTAACTATAGTTGTACTTGTGATATTTTATCATTGTAAAATATCCATTTATGATATTATTCAAAGTATTTGTCCCTGTATGTATGGCAAATCTAATAAATAATTGTAAGGAAAATGGATCCTTGGCCCATTTACTTTGGATTTTGGTGTTTGATGACCAACACAACCAAATTGGACTAATAAATTTGCAAGTGATTGTTTTGTAGTTCAATAGGATGCAAGATGTGACTTGGATAAAGGCGACGTGGTGATCCAATGATCAACACCTCAAGCAAGACCTTAGGAGCACAAGAGAAGACCCAAGATATCAAGAAAAGTCCAAGCATGAAGATAGGAACCAAGCCGCACGCAAGATCGTGAAGAACCGGACACTCTGATCAGAGGCTCGGCAACAGCAGCAGCGACCGGACGCTGGCGGCAAACCGATCGGACGCAGGACAGCAGCGTCCGATCGAGTACAGAGAGGTTCCAGAGCGACGAACTTGCGACCGAACGCTGGCAGCGTTCGATCAGTTGATCGTGGCTCAACGGTCGGGACGACCGGATGCGTGCGGTCAGGACTATTTCAGCATCCGGTCAGTAGCAGAAAAGTAGGATTTCATCCCCAACGGCTACTTTCTCAGTGGGGCTTATAAATACAACCCCCAACCGGCCAAATGAGGGTGGTGGAGCTGAGGAAACATATCAAGGGTGTTGATACACCATTTTAGTGATCTCCACTTGCATAGTGCTTAGTGATTCATTAGGTGATTAGCGTAGGTGCTTTGCGAAGTGCTTAGGTTGATTAGACCATCGCTTATGTTCTTGCTCTAGGTTTAGGCCTAGTGTTTAGTGAGGTTTGCATACCTCTTACCACTCGGTGCTTGCGCGCACCATTGTTGTACATCGGAGGGGCTTGTAGTCTTGCGAGATCACACCAACCGCGTTTGTGGTGTGGCCGCCACCGTGTATCGCAACGAACAAGGCCCGCGGCGTTTCGGCCGGAATCTTGATAGTGAAGACAGCGGGGAGCATCCGGAAGAGGCTTGCCGAAAGGCACGTCGGAGACCCACTTGCATGTGGGGAAGGCCCGAGGCTATCCACGGAGTTACCCGACCGGGAGCTTGGCCCTTGCGAGGGATTCCTTGCGAGGGGCTCCAATGAGGACTAGGGGGAAGCTTGAGTGCTTCTCGATACCTCGGTAAAAATACCAGAGTCGTCGATGGGAGTTTGCATATCTCTACCTTGCTCTTTAGCTTCCGCATTTACATTGATTGTAGTACTCCTTTTTGCGGTAGAGATAGCAACATACTAGCAAAACCGTAGTTACACATTTAGATAGTTTATCTTTTGCATAGGTTTTGCTAGGGATAGAAAAAGTGGCCATAGTTTACAAGTAGATTTTTAAATTGCCTAATTCACCCCCCCACTCTTAGGCGTCACGGTCCCTTCAATTGGTATCAGAGCCGGTTGGCTCAATTTGGACCTTTGGCTTAACCGCTGTTGAGCCGACATCATTTAGAGTGGTTGTGATGGATACCTCTAGGCCTCCGCACTTTGACGGCACTAACTTCCCTTATTATAAGGCTAGAATGGCTTGCCACCTTGAGGCGGTTGATTTGGGTGTATGGAGAGTCACTCGTGACGGGATGAAACCCATCAAGAATTCCAAAAAACCCACAAAGAGTGATGAAAAAGAAATGCATTTCAATGCTAGAGCTAAAATTGCTTGTTTGAATCATTTAGCATGGATGTGTTTAATCAAGTATTCACTTTAAATACAGCACATGAAATTTGGTTAAAACTCCAAGAGCTCCATGACGGCACAAGTAATGTCCGTGAGCAAAAACATTGTCTAGCTAAACAAAATTATGATTCCTTTATAATGAATGATGATGAGCTTGTTCATGATATGTATTCTCGTTTGAATCTAATTATCAATGAGCTCCATTCAATAGGATTAATAAAGCTAGATGATGCGGACATCGTGAGGAAGATCATCTCCGTGCTACCACAAAAGAAATATGCAAGCATCATCACCATCCCTCACAACATGGAGGACTTGAGCACCATGACCCCGGGCATAGTTATTGGCAAGTTAGTGGCATTTGAAATGTCACATAAGATGGGTCAAGAAGAAGCTTCTTCATCAAGCAAAGGCAAAGCTCTTGCATATAGCGAGAAAAAGAAGATGAAGGGGAAGCAAGTTGAGACAAGCTCAAGCTCAAGCTCCTCAAATGAAGATGAAGAAGAAGATGAGGACGATGATGATGATGATGAAGATTCAAGTAATGATGATCAATCTTCCTCCTCCACCTCTGACCTTGATGAAGAATCAATCAAATTAATCAATAAGGTGGAGAAGATGATCCAAAGGCTCAATGTCAAGGGTGTGCCCATCCAAATTCAAGATCTCATTTTCACCAATCAAAGAAATGAGCAAAGAAAGAGAGGATACTATGGATGCGGCGAGTTGGGGTACTTTGTGGAAGTTTGTCCAAACAAGCCCACACCTAAGACAAAGAAAAAGGCATGCAAGAACCAAGCCCTCACCTCAATAAGATCATGGGATGATTCTTCAAGTGAAGAAGAACACCATCACAAGAGGCGAGGCCACAAGCACTCATCATCAAGATCTTCACGTGTGTGCCTTATGGCACGAGGTAACGAAAGCTCATCCTCTAGTGAGAGTGATAGTGATGATGATTTGCCTTCTTATGATAAAATTGTGCAACAAAATCTTAAATATGTTAAAGTTTGCACTAGTCAACAAAAGAAGCTCAAAAGTTTAAAAGAAAAGCTAGATAGTTCACAAGAAGCATACAAAACTTTGCTTGAACAATATGAGAACTTTGCTAATCTCAATGTTGAACTATCTACTAAAATTGAGCAACTTAAGGCTAGTGCAACAACAAATGAATGCACAATCAATAATGAGCAACTTGCAAAGAAAAATGAAAAACTAAAAGAAAAGTTAGCTAGCTCACAAGATGCTTATAAAAGTTTACTTGCAAAAATGGAAACCATTTGCAAACATTGTGATGAGCTAACTAAGAAAGTTGCTAATCTTGAAACCATTAGTACAACCCCCACCAAGGCATCTAAAAAGAAAA